GTGTGTTTTGTGCGTTGCCATGGAAGCGGCATATGGTGAGATCTCAGATTTCACGTAGAGCTAGTGAGGCATGGACCGGAGATATACAAGTGAAGATTGGGGGATGATGGGACCGTGTCCATTGGAGTTACAGCGACATCGTGTTTTATGGCGAGGGATGCGTTGCCATGGTAACGCCACATTATGTAACATCAGATTTGAAATGGAGCTGTTCAGGGCCGGAGTGTGTGTGGCGTTCTGAGCATGTCAGTTGGAGTTATGACATCATCGTGTTCCATGGCGAGGAATCGCCTAGCATCGAGCGAACGCGAAATTCGGCACCAAATGACGGCTCCGCCGTGCGAAAAAAAAGATTTCCGTGATGTCTCCAGACGCTACCCGACGACTTTGGATTCTATCGGATAAAATCTCTAGAAGGAGATATTTTAGTATGGAGGAGACGAAAAACGCGATTTAAATAAAAATGGCCAACTTCCTGTACGTTATACCTCTCCAAGAGGCTTTTTTGTTCGTCTCCGCACCCTAGATATGCGTAGCGAGTTTTGTTCGTTTACGTGAAAGTTAAAGTAGGGGGAGTTTACGTTAAAACCAGAAGTGGGTGTGGCCTACGCAATTTTTTACGCATAGGTTCTTCGCCGACCTCTGGTCTCAGACCCTAATAACTGTTAATAGTAATAATGAGATAATACATGACCTTACTCTGTCAAATTGGCCATGGTGAGGCAGTCGGTTCTGATGTAACTCATCAGGTCCAGGATGGGCTGAACACTGTCCACTGTCCAATCAGACCCAGCCAGCTGTTCTGGTGGGGAGGAAACGGGGAGAGATAATAGTCAGTGCTTTTTGAGGACAAAAACAGAGGTACATTCAGATTGTTTTACTCAGTTTGACACATTAAGAAGATATTGTTTTAACTAACTTAATTAGATATGCATATATATTAGTAACTTGTGAAAAATGTATTGATCGTACACTGTATTTCAAATAAAATAAAGAGTGCAGATTTCTTCATAAAGATTGGTTTGGAAGCTGCTTATTCCTAGATTACACACAAACATTGTCAATCACACCGACTGATGGCATTAAAATCGCACTCTTAGAACACACTACGCTACCATATAATAGTGAGGATATTATATCATATAGGTAACCACACACGGCCAACAATGAAACAAATACCTTTAACGTGATCCAGACCAATCCACAGGGCCTTCTCAGGTTCAGAGCTCAGCAGGTGGAATTTAACTGCCAACAACAAATCTCCTTCACATATGGCTGCTTCTGCCAAGGACTTACAATCCTCCAATGAAGGAAGACCGCACTTGAATGACAAACAACACATAGTGCTTGTCACTATAATCATCACACATAATATCATCAACATCAGACATGGAGTCTCTCTTTTATCTCCTCCACAACATGTCTTAGATCTACCTGAATGAGTGCCAACTCACCCTCTTATGAAAGAGATTGATTTCTGCAGGGCTTCCTGGGTAATATGCACACAGCTTAGCCAGTAAAAAGTCATTGTCAGGAATCATTTGCACTAGGTCAGCAGAGAGCTCCCTGAATGTAAACAAGGCACAGATGAAAGTTTCTTCTTGATGGTGTTTAGAAGCAGCCGCTGTCAGTGTTTGATGAGCACAGGTGGAGTACCCTGCTCTTCCACAGGCACTCACATTGAGAAATGAAGATCTAAATTCTGGCTGACTAATAAAGTCCAAGCCAAAATTGTTTGGCAGTCAAAGGGCTAATTCATAAACTTCATCACGGACATGTATCATTATGCAATGTCCAACATAGCCCGTAAAGAAATAACGGTGTTCAGCTAGCTGGATATGAGCAACATGGGGTTTGCAACAAACTAAATTAAATGTAACATTGTACATTACAACAACATCACAACATTTTGAAGGATTAAGTAGCCCAAAGAAGCTCAAACTGGTTTGATCAATACTAAGATGTACATAGGAATAATGAATGTTACACACAATGGTGCACATGCATGGATGGAGACGTACCATGTAGGTGTCATCATGTACTTCCTGGCCAGGAGTTCAAGACAGTATGCAGTGCTCTGGTTAGCTGCCTCTCCAAGGACTATACCCACACATGCAGCCAACTCCAGCTCATTACCTCGGATATGACTTGACATGGCTAACTAAAAAACACACACACACACACACACACACACACACACACACACACACACACACACACACACACACACACACACACACACACACACAATATATTTTTTTAATCCACTTTCTCAGAGAAATATTAAAACTAACAAATGCAAGTCTGCTGCAGGTAAGCGCACAGACGGTGGTGTGCACCTTGATGTTGTCCACAGCGAGGTGGCAGCATGCAGCCAGAACGGAGCATCCATCCTGGAAGTACCACTCAGCGAGTTCCTTACAGACCTTATGGAGGAGACTGGACAAACAAGCCAATATAGCCAGGGACTTTTATAAATACGTCTCATCTCCTCATCTCATTTTAGAGAGCATTTAAATTAGACTAAACATTTCCTAGAGTTCCACTCTAATTATGAGTTCTACAAGTGAAGTTAGAGACTCTGAATGAAGCATAGTCAGCAGGACACGTACCAGCTGAAGTGAAAGTGAGCATAAGGTTGACCAAACATGACAAAAACTGACATAGAGAATTGAGACAGAACTAAAAATACTATTCAAAAAATACCGGCTACCTATGACTAACACTAAGAAGTGTTGCTAACTATTTTAATTTAGATATGATTCTCTTCTTTAAATTAATAGTTACAATAACAGTTTGATCCCTCGTGTTTTGGAAAGACAATTCTGCCATTTTTGCCATGCGATGAAAAAAGAATAACTTGTCAAAGGTAACAACCAAAGATATTTCATTAAAAATTCTGCTGTGTGTGTGTGTGTGTGTGTGTGTGTGTGTGTGTGTGTGTGTGTGTGTGTGTGTGTGTGTGTGTGTGTGTGTGTGTGTGTGTGTGTGTGTGTGTGTGTGTGTGTGTGTGTGTGTGTGTGTTTTACCTCTGGTATTGTTGTCTGCTATCCACATCATTAGTTGTGTGGTTCACTGTGGAACTGTGCGGTGCACGAATGTTCCCTTCGCACGCTCCCTAAAAATATAGAACATCATATTGTTTTTAATTTTGTATTATTTCTTGTCGATATTTTCACAACCATCAATTTATCCTTAACCCCCCTCCTCTTCATTCATGTATTCATGCAGACTTAAAGAGAAAAGCTGTTCCCGTCATTGTGTTCCCACCCTCTCACACACACTCTGTGTACCTGTGCTATCATCAAGGCTTCCTGAAGCTGTCCTCTGCCAGTGAAGAAGGTCACCAGTTGTTCTATGTCTCCTGTGGCGATGCCGTATGGGATAGCATCATCGTTATCCTCAGCCATCAGCTGCTCAGCTCTCCTGTCACATGAGCACATCACAAATATTCATATACATACCATAAACAACACATAAAGATTTTGTCTCTGTATTCATATTTAAAATAAAGAAGATGGCACACTTAATAACTGAATTTACAATTCAAGATTTATGCTAGTATTAACACATAATAAGGCTTATCATGGTCAGAATACCTTTTGACTATCGCTCGTTACAGAGTGTTTCCCTGTAGGCTGCATCTTGTTGGTTATTGTTGAGGACAGAGTTAGTGCTTTTATTATGATGGCTTAACATATGACCTGATAGTGACAGCCTCAGATATCCCTCTGAGGTTATCAGGTCTCTGTTCTGAAGAATGTCTTTGTATGCAAGGTTTTCACATTGGATCGCATTGCACTATTCAAGTGTTGCTCTTATTTTGCCACCTCTTTTGATCTAAGGTTAGGGTTAGTAGCATTGTGGCATTGCTCAGTGATGCACACACTGAGACAGTAGCATCATGTGATTAGCAAACCTGTTTAACAGTCCTCCTAGCAGTTTACACTGACAGACTTGTTTTTGTTTCACTTTTATTGTTGTTCGCTGACACTTTTATTGTCAGAAGCTGACAAATAAAGCTGACAAATAAACGTAACCATAGTTTACCTCTGCATGAGATTCTTCCAGTATTTCATGGAGACTCCTGGAGCCACAGACAAGGCTTTCTCCCACTGAAAGAGAGGGAGTAATCAGCCTCAGTTACATTTGCAAATAATTTCTTTCTTTTCATATCTATTTGTTTCTAACATTAGACGAACTGAGTCGTTTGTCAGAAGCTGTTTGATGATGCTCAGACGTCTCTCTCATCACATCTTCTTCGTAGACATTTGAAAGTGTATTATGACAGTGTGAGGCCGTCTAAATCTTTCCTATGATATGACATAAGCCTGTTACTTGACGATATTGAGTGTTTTAGTGTGTGTTTGCAATGTGTCCTAAAAAGGCATGTGTAGAAAATGCAGTGCTTATTTTACTTACTTTTCAATGCTTACCTCTGCTCATGTTTGTCAAACACTGAAGACAGCTCTCCATTCACTACTAGAGAACTGTCAGTACTATTCTCTCAATCTTTCATAAAGAGTTTAGACAGTATCTCTCTTATAACTATTCTTTCACCAAGGACTTTCTTGCAAATAAATAATATGTATCCATCTCAGTGATCCTCTGAACTGTCATATGTGCAGTATAAGCGCATACATGCTGATATAAATGAAGTCCTCATTATCATTTTCTGTGCTGCTCAAAAATAGTTTTCCAATCATGCATAGACAATAATATCTATTTTAATGGAGACCAGCAAATAGATGATTTGATATTGACTGATAATATTTAGTTTTGTTTAAAGTACAACACCATTTAGGTCGACATTGTATTAAAGCATCAAAAGGGAGTTATGTGGAGCCAGCCAATAATTAAGGAGCACATTGTTGAATATTGAAATGGATAAACACACACACACACACACCTGTCCCAGCTCCACCATTAATTCGCAGTATCGTTGGACCTGTCCCAGTCTCAGATGGATGTCTGCGGCTTCTTTCAGCCTCTCCTCTTTACTGGGGGCACCGATCCCCCCTCCAAATTTAGACATCTTTACTATAGTGAGCTCCTGGGCTTCAGACTGAAAAAAAATAGAACAGGTCAAACTGGAGTGAAAACACTTGAAATACACTGAAACCTCTTGGACTTGGCCCAAAAAAGAAAGCTGCATTCAGTGTAGTTATGTAGTATTTAAATGAAGAGGATAGCATGATAAGTATGATAAGAAAGACGTACATTTTTATAAGTGGTCTTCTAGTTCAGTGGTTCTCAACTGGTGGGTCGCGACCCCCGTTTCGAGTGGGTCGCAGATGTGTGAGTGAAAAAAAAAAATTGGAAAAAAAAAATTCCTTTTTCTTTTCTTTTTTTTGGGGGGAAAATGTCAAACTTTTATTTTGAAGGCCCGATTTGCTAACGTTGTGCATGCAGTAGGCGTTGGACTGAAAGTACCGGAGACCATAAACGGTTTTGAAAACTTCTGTCACGTAGTGATCATCTTCTCAATAAAACATCTTTGCTGATGTTTTTTCGAGTCTTCTGGCCAATCAGAATCAAGATTGTAGTCGGAAGTCCCCATGGAGAATAACTTTGCGGTAGAACTATTCTTTATACATCCATGGGTACAACTTCAGATAAAAATTAACACATAATGAAATATGACCCCCGGTTTGATGATTGACAGGTCACAGAACCATGGGGGCTATCTACCCTTACCCACAATTTAAACTATTTCACACAGATTATCTCCTCTTTGCTCTTCTCTTTGTGTGGAGCAGCAAGTTCAGCTGCCAGAACAAAGTGAAAAACAAACAATGGCATAAAATATTAATAATATGTCGTAAATCTATTTTTTTTCTTCTCAGAGTGTACCAGAATGGGTAGTTTATATGTTAGTATTTCTAAAAATCTTCCCCCAGACCCCGCTTCTGGGGTTAGGTTTTCAGCACGTGTGCCTTTTTATGTTATACAGTTCAGCTTTGATTCCATCATCTCATTAAACCTTATTTAAAAGCATTATTTTGTTCTGTGAAGGGATATAAGGGATATATGCACTGTACTTCACTTCAATTAATATTGTATGCTGCAAAGCCTATATATTACTGCAGGATTTTTTGTTGAATAGATTTGAGTGGTTCAAAACGTCGGGTCGCGATCTATTGACTAAGGAAAAAGTGGGTCCCGAGGCCTGACCATTTGAGAACCACTGATCTAGTTAAATCATGATACTATGAACTAAATATAGTCCTGTATTATAATCCTTTATTTATTTTCATAATCTTTCATTATGTTCTTTATTTTCTGTATGTACTGTGCTTTTCCTTATCTCTGGCTAGGTTACTGGGTCAACATGTATTTGTTTACATTAGCAGAGCCTTGAACCCGTTGAACAGTAACTCAGAGGATCCTCACCGTTTTAAACTTGAGCAGGTGCTTCATGTGCATCACCCCCCCGCTGTAACTGGGAGGCAGCAGCGAGTCGTCCTGCCCGCTGATCACTGACACCAGGTCCCACAGGTTGCTGCTGCCCCCTGGAGGCTGAGCAGGGAAATGTACACACAGGTTCAGAAATAAAAGGAGTATTTAGGATGAGATAAGATAGACTTAGAAGCAATATAAAAAACGAATGGATCTTTACAATATGCCAAATGACACACATTCTATTGGAGAAAGTGTTTGGAAATACACTTTAATGTTATTAAGTAAAAACATTTTGTATACGTTTATTATTTCTTGTGTTTAGTTGTAATATAATATTACAATATTTATACTAAAAACAGACAATCCCAAGTTTAACATAAGTAACAAAAAAAGGGGGGGGGGGGCTTTATGATGACTCATTCAGATTCAACTAAGCTAAACCCTGGACTCTGGACAATGTGTTACTTGACTGGAGTAATGTCAATCAAATCTATGTTTATGGGCAAAATCTTCTCACAAGTCTTTGGAAGTGAAAGATCATGTTTAATATACAATACCAACCCAAGAGAGGACCTAAACAAATGAGATATATTTTAATTTGATATCGGTATTTATACACTGAATTCTAGATTTGTCCTATCTGCTGGGCCCAGAATACGGTTAGTTGTTTATCAATAATAAATTAGGGAGAGTGTAAACATGTTTAGCAGCATAACATAATGCATGTTTGTACAATCTGAGGCAAAGTGTCCTTTCATCACACAGCATCACCAATGAAGAACGTTCAGAAAGCAGGTACCGAAAAGCACTCAGAGAACCAGCGCAGCTTCTTGGCCCTGATGTCACAGCTCAGTTTATCCAGCTCCTGCTTGATGTCTCGAGACACTTTCCCACAGAGCAGCGGGGGGGCGCCGGGGACCATCGCTGTGTCTGCACACACACACAGGCAGCAGGGTTACAGGAGCTGTAAGGACAGAGGGCGTCCTGCAGGGCGAAGTCTGACCTGTGCTCCCGTTGATCCTGTCCCAGGGCTGCTCCGTGAGGATGTTCAGCAGCAGAGGGGCCACCAGGGGGGCGAGGGACCACAGCCGCACCGTGCTGTCCCTGCTGCAGCTGGCCATGGTGAAGGGGCGGCTCTGATGACATGTTAAACCTGCACACAAACACACACACGTTTCAAAACATAATGTCGGCACTAGTGACTGCAATATTAAACTTTCTAAACCCGTCTCACAACATTTGAGGCTACAGCAGGGATACTATTACAGATCATCTAAAACTGAATAAATACATTATATTATATATTAAGAGAGACAATCATATAAATACATTTTTGTTTTTTGACTCATACAGTATATAAAATAATTCAATCAATCCTGTTAGAATTGAATCACAGAAACAAAATTAATATATAAAGACTACAACTAAACTTAACCTATAGCAAACACACTGATAAATAACTCAAACTAACATTTAATTTAAAAGTCAAAGCTAAAACTAAATCAAATCTCTGTAAAAATTAAAAACAATTATAAGCCTTGAATACAGAATTCCATATCTCATTTGAATGGCCTGACTTCCGTGAAACTGGCAGTTTTCATCCCATTATTATGGCAGGGGGTGTTCAGTCTTACCGTACACATCTGCTCCGTGGTCGTAGACTGTATCTAGACATGTTCCATCTCTAGTGTCCCACACTCTGATCGTATAATCCCAAGACCCTACAAAATAAAACAACATTTCACACTGTAAAGAACAACTACTCTGACAGTGCAGTCCCATCACTGTGAAATGTAAAGTACATCACACAGTTTAAACACAGAGGCACTTCAAAACCATATCAAAAGTTAATATGTCATTTGTTGGTCAGGTGAATGGACTTGTTTCAACGTAAAATCAGCCATCTTAGCTATGTATTGTTATGGATGCAACAAATGAAATGTCAGCTGGCTTTAGCGAATCATTAAGACATTCTCCTATTGTGCCATCATTTTTTTTCATTTAAACAGGAGGTAAACCCAGACAAAAGTGAATGTATCGGCTCATAAGTAGGAGCATTTATATTCTGTAGGGCTGCCAATAGATGCTACTGAAGAGCCACTACCTTTAAAATGATTGAAAGTAGGAGCCTTGATGTTGAAATTTTTAAATCATTTTAATTCATCAGCTACTTTTTCCCCTGTCAAATTCTACATTGCACTTTAGAGAGGTTCTAGAACTGAACACACATACACAATGACAACATATTGATTACAAATCAGTCGGTTTAAAAGAAGATTATTATAAACAATGTTAGTGACGCTACCTGAAATGAGGAGGTACGGAACCTCAGTGTTCCACAACAAGCCTCTGACCGGAGCTGTGTGCCCACTCAGCACGTTGATACAGGCGTCCTGTGTGTAGTCCCATATACGGACAGTCCTGCACACACACACACACATACACACACACACACACACACACACACACACACACACACACACACACATACACACACTTTGTTACATGATTACTTGATTTTATTTAGATTTAATTTTTGAATATGTTATGCTTGTTTACTTTACTATGTAAATTGCAGGTTTATTTACATATGACTGTACTTTTAATAAATGCCGTGAATACATGTTGGATCATGAATGTGTGTGTTTATTAAAAAATCATAATACAAAATAAAGGCCTGTTGACTTGCTGTGCTAAACATCTCCAATAACGGAAAAATTATAAAATAACTTGGTGGCTCTAAAAAAAAAAAAAGATATCCTAAGAGTAGCATTTTGTAGTTCACACATTTAACTTTGTATTTTAGGTTTATTCAAATTGTATTCCTTCTTCTTTTTTTGTAAATTATCATTTGATGCAGCAGCAAGAACGATTCTTAATAAAATGTCCATATTATTCAAGAAAAAACAATACCTGTTCTTATTTCCCGTAGCTTTGTGTGTGCACTCACCCATCATCTGATCCAGAACACAGTATTCCCTCTCTGAGTGGAGACCAGCGCACATGGAAGACTTTGGCGAGGTGTCCAGAGAAAACCTTCAGAGGCTGGTCGGAGCTGGTGGCCAGGTAGTACACACGGACATTTTTATCCTCACAGCCTGTAGCGATCATGTCCCTGCAGGGGAGAGAGAGGCAGGGGGAATTGTGAAACATCCAGACAGTGACTTAACACCTTCCATTTCTGACAGTAATAATGTGCTACAACATTTCTATAGACGTGGTCTAGACAGTGGTCGGATTTTACCGTGACATAAGCTGTTCACCCCAGCTGTACAGTGTGACTGTTTGGTATGAGAGTAGGTATGAGAGGAGAATAGAGACACTACATATATGTACATATATGTAGTGTCTCTATTCTCCTCTCATACCTACATGCTTTACTTTGATTGGGCTTCTTTTTTATATAATCCTGCTTTGTTTAACTAGTAATATCTTGTCACTATGTTTTAATCGTTGAAAATAAGTTGGTTTTTCCTTCGATGTATGTCAGGTCCAGCTGTATTTAAACTGTTGAAATGATTCAAAGCAGTAAAGAAAGGATTATTAGATCTAATAACATGGAGAATGCCCCCCCCCCAAAAAAAAAAGTAAGACGGCTGTGGATCGATGTCCTACTTGTTGTTCTGGCTCCAGTCACACCCAAACACCGCAGCAGGATGTTTGTACTTATGGAGGATTTTACCATCGATGGTCCGGATGATACTGTTTTCAAAACAATACACAATATGTAAACCTTTATATGAAGGACAGATATATATATATATTAGCAATAGAACAAACTTTAGCCGGAACAGGGAAGATGAGGACTTACCAGAATCCATCTCCACTACAGGTAGCAATCCTCTTGGAGTCCTTATGGCTCCATGATATGCAGAATATACCATTCTTACCATGCTGAAGGAGGACACAGAGGTTGTCAATGCACACACCATAATACCATCAGCTTAATAAATTGAAGTTACATGTTTCACAAAATAATTGTTGGCAAGGATAGACTAATCAGTACTGGCACATTTCCACTGCAGGACCTCGCACGGCTTAGTACGGTATGGTTAGGCCTTGGTAGGCCAGGCTCACTTAAAGCTGCTTTTTCATCACAGTTTAGTAACAGGGGTAGTAACTATAGTAACGCAGTGTAGGTGGGCCGATCGGCTGTTCGGCGGGCGGAGCAA